CTTGGTGTCCTGTCTGTGCAGAATAGCCCCAGATCCTCCTCTGGTTTTCCTGGGTTTCTTTTTTAATATCTTAACTATATAACCCCTCCAAATACATCATCCAATTTCTTATTAGCTGCTTGTTGTTATTCTCGGCCCTCCTTCCAGTAAGTCAGCCTGGGTGGGGAGGGCCCGTAGCCCAGTGTCCAGAGCAGGATCTCCTGCAGACACCAGCAGATCATGCTGAAGAGGGTCCCATGTACCCCCTTGCTACCCCTTTCCCATCAGGTCAGTGATCCTGGTCAAGACACAGGATGGCTGTGTTGGTTGGGAAGGGGCTCTAGAGAAGGAACCTGCAGCTAGCTCAGAACTGAAGCAAGCTGCCCAGGCTCAGGAAGCCTCCAAATGTCTGAGGAATAGAAGCAAATCACTGGATCTGAGTCCTGACATTTCTGACACCAACTGAGTGCTCCATGGTTCTGTCCAATTCTGCTACCAACTACCTTGAGATAGTGCAGGTCCCACAGGTCCAGGGCTCTGTCCCTAGATAGCTACATGTGGGTTTCCACTTGTCTTTGTCCATTGCCTGTTGTTATGACTGAAGACCACTGACTCCGGGGTAATTAATAAGGCATAGCAGTTTATTCAGCTAATGGATGCAGGTCTAAGGTTGACTTGGTGGGGCCTGCCTGCTGGTGCGGACTGCAGCATCCTCAGGGGCACAGGACTTTTCATGGGGAGGCAGAGCAAGCCTGTTAACTTGGGTCTCTTCTTATAAAGGCACTATTGCAACCATGAGGCCCTACTCTCATAACCTTCTCTACCCCTAATTCCTTTTCCTTCTGCCTTTTTTTTTTTTTTTTGGGGTGGGACTGAAGTTGCTTACAAAGCAGGTACTCGATTGCTTGAGCCACACCTCCAGTCCTGAGCTTTGTGATGGTTTCATTACAGAGGAATGATTGATTAATCATTGGCTGAAAGACTGAATTCTGTGGCAGCCCCTTTCCATGGGGAGGGAAGCAGAAAATCCCAAGCCTCTACTCACATGGCAGGCCAGCCAGCACTCCTGAGTCACCTCATTAGCAATACCTCAGGTGAGGTGTGGTCCCAGCTATGGAAAGGGTCTCCCTGTGAATAACAAAGAGTCTCTTATCACTCAGAACATTCCAAGTGTGTTCAAAGCTCTCTGCCAGGAAGTGGGGACAAAGACTGGATAATGTGCTTTGCTGTATCACAGGCCTAACTCTTGGGGTTCCAGGCCACTTACTCTTTCCCACACTGCATTTCTCATGGGCTCTGGAGAGGCTGGCAATGTGTGGTCCTGTGCACTCCAAGTGTGACAGATCAAGAGTAACACATCTGTGTGACACAAGCTGGTATAAGGGGCTGCACAGCCTCTGGATCTCTTTCTTCCCCCCACCCCCTTGCTGGTGGTTGGCAGGGCCCCGGGAGTCGTGTGGCACCTGCAAACTGACACCTGTGAAGGCGGCCAGGGTGTGGGCATCTCTGGCACTGTCCTCTCCAGCCAGGATGAACTCACTGACTACCTGCAGGGCCCTGGCTGGTGGGACCTGCTGGAGGCTTCTGCTTTTGGCATTTCCTGCTGAACATTTTTATTGAAAAAGTTGGATAAAGACACAAGAGGCCTGTCTATCAAATTTATAGGAACTGCAAGCTTGGGAGGCAGAACTGATAAATTGATGGCAAATGAAGATGTTCAAATATTCAGCAGGGTGGAATGAGTAGAATTACGTGGGCTCGTGGCACAGTGCTACCATGAGGCATTTTCAGACCATCTTGTCCAAACCATGTGTTTTACTGCAGATAAGGTCCAGAGACTTTCCATAGTGTGGCTTGTGGCAACTGCAATTCATCTTAACCTGTGAGGCTCAGGAACACCTGAGTTTGCCATGACGTGTTTACAGTGGACCTCTCTTTAAACACGACACATCTGAGGTGGAGCTCCTCCTTGAACCTGAGTGGCCATGGTAGGCCTGTCCTCTCCCTGCTCAAAGTGGTGCACCATGGCCGCAGGACCCTGCTCTGCCTGAGGCAGCCTTCATTTCTATTCTGTTTCGTTCTGCCTCTGGGTACCTGCCACCCAGAGTGCCTTCTATTCCTGCAAAGCTGCTTAAATGATAATTTGGTGGGACTCCAACTAAAAGACCACCCCAAGAGGACCTGCTACTGCCCTGCTGCTCAGGGACTCAGCTCTGACTCTCTGGCCACAGCTGTAGTTTGTGTGCATGTGCCACTCTTCAGTCCAGACCCAACCAGAATACGCTGCAAGGTGTTTTTGTGTGTGGGGCAGGGGGCTCCTGGCTTGGCTGAACCTCCCCTGTGCTTGGTACAGTGCAGGTCATATTGTACACATGAGGATGCTGGGAGGGGGAGGCAGGAGGAATGGGTCTGAGAGAGTGACTTGCACCACCTCACTGGACCCTCCCACAGATTCATGACATTGGTGTATGGGAGCCCTGGCCTCCATGGTTTGCCCAGCTGAGGTTTGAACTGTGATCCTTCCAGCTCTATAATCTGTGCTTCCTCCTATGTGGGTAATACAGAGATGACACACACAGGCCTTGCCACTTGAGGGGATGGGTGGATACCTTGGACTTGAAGTGAAAACTGAACAGGAAAAAGCCAATTTCTTTTCTCTCTTGTCTGCAGCAGGGGGCTGGTGGAGAATTGTCATGTCTGGGCCAGGGCACCCCACCCCCGCCTCTGGATGGCTCTGTGTGGATGGAGGCATGTCTAAGAGCTCAGCATATCCTCTGGGCTCAGGCAAATGTGCACAGAGGGCTGGGCTGTGGGGCAGAATTGGGAGAGAAGAGGCCGTCTGCAGGGGTGGGGATGGTCACCACAATGCCTCCATATCTTTAGGTGGGTGGGGGTATTGAAGACAAGAAGTGCACAGTATCTCACTGTGAGGAGGTCTGGGTTTGAGAAATAACTGCTGTGAGTGACAGATTGGGCAAGACCAATCCCTTTCAACCTCTAAGCATCAGATTAGAAAACTTCCCAAGGCAACGCATCGATTTACAAAGGTTTCTGGAAAACCATGGCCCACCCTGTGGGCACCAATCGGTTGCCCTTCACCTCACCAAAAGTTGGGCTTGAACTAGCTTTACTTTTAACAAAAAAAGTGTTAGAATTTGCCTTGTACTTATAGGGTACAAAAGTCATTAAGCCAAAAGAACATAAAAAATATACTAAGCAAGTTGACCTCGCTTCTGTCCAATTCCAACCGAGCTGTAACTGAGCACTCTGGAAGGCATTTGGCAGCTCTGAACAAAGTATTTTGTTGGATAAGCAATAATCTGGGCTCATCAATGCACCTGCGATGTTCCTGTTTATCTTATTTCACGTGACAATGATGCAAGCCTTGTATCTACACTTCTGTTTTCACCTAATGAAAATTTATTATACAGAGACCATAATTCTCTATCTTTGCAGTTTGATACAATTGCAAATCCACTGGTAATCTTTTTTTTCCCCAAAATTCCACATAATTGCAAGAACAAAGAATGTAAGTTCTCCTGAAAATAGTTGGCCTATAAATTAAATTCACTAATGGACAAAGCAACTCTTTTTGTTCCTTTGCACATTTTGTGTTAGTGTGGAATTCTCCATTTTACAGCCTTGGTAGGCAGAGACCCCTGTGTTAGACATAGAACATTGGTTAGTCTCAACATGGGCTAAAAATGGAAACTGACATATTTCCACAGTACCTGGGTCAGTGTGTCTGGCCTGAGTGCTGTCTGTCAGGTGCAGGCAGTTTGCAGCTGTTAGCCACATGGCTCCTCTTCATGATCATGAGTCAATTTGACCGAGTCCAGTAGAGACAAGAGTGTGCAGAACAGTGGCTTGGTGCTGGAATTGCCTGGGAGCCCCGACCACACCTGTTGCTTTGAACAGTCACTGCCGTGGGCCTGGCCATGGGCACGTGTAGGACAGGACCAGGCTGAGGAGTCACTGTGGCCAAAGCAAGCTCTTTTCCAGGCAACGTAGGCTGAGTCTGCACCACAGGGAAGACCAGATGCATCCTCAAGGTTGGGTGGCACTGACCCAACCCTGGACCAGGTCAGAGAGAAGGAGCTGGCATTAGAGTGACCATTTCTTATTTAGCAAATATTTTCTTGCAGCTGTAACCACCTAGGATGTTAGAAGGAGGCTTCGAGATACTTCTAGAATAAGGCAGAGAGCCATGAAGAAATTTGTCCAGAGTCAGGTTACAGTGATGCACACATGGAGTGTGATTCGGAAGGGCTGAACTTTCTCCTTCCTTCCTGGAGAGGAAGGGCCCTTTCACCCCATGGAAGCCGCACAGGGAGCTGTGGTGAGCCACTCAGCCTGGCCAGGCTGGCTCCACAGGTCTTCCCACCATGCCTTACTGGTGAACCCCCTCCCATACACCGTGTGCTCCCTCCAGCTGCAGCAGCTGTCCTGGGGTCATGGCTGCACCATCCCTCTGCTGGAGACAGACTTCTCCAGGGACCCAGAGGTTCTGCTCTCTACTGTCCATGTATCCTGGCCACCATCTTTGTCACTAAATATGTATTATGGGCTTGATTTCAGGAACAGGGATTTCTGGACCAAGGAACCATTTTCTACACATATGTCCAACAATGAAGGGAATCAATGAAAGGAGCCATAAAAGTGCTGTTCCCCACCACTCCCCACCCCTCACCACATCTGTGCAGGGACATGTGAACCTCATGCCTCGTCTTGTGGGCTGTGATCAACACAAGGACCTGATTGATGTGAAGGTGCCGTCTGCAGGCACCCATCGTCTTCTGCAGCTGGTGACTGAAGTCCACTAGGACTTCAATATCTACCTCCCCACAAGACACAGCAAACAGTTTGTACCCCAAGGATGTAGACTCCACCTTTGCCACCAACCACATCTGACTGTATTTAAAAAGACACTTTGTTTATTATCTCAGAAGAATTTTAAAGGTTGCAATGAAACCTTGGGTCTCCCCAGGCATGGGTAACTCTCTGTATCTTGTGTCCCAAAGGACAGAAGGCTGTGAGTGTCCTGAGCCAGATGAGGCACAGCAAGAGGACAAGGACACGCGGACACCGCCTCCCCAGATTCTCCTGCCCCTGGAGGAGCGCGCGACACATTTCCGAGATATGCTTCTGGAGAGAGGGGTAAGGAAACCAGAGCGACCGCCCAGGCTCACCACCAAGAGGGGCTTCCTTTTTCCTGGTGGGTCTGTAGTCAGGCTGAGTGACAGTAGGTGCTGAATGATTTGAGGACATAGAGCAAACCAACAAGAAAAAGGAGCTGCTTCCAGTCTTAGAGGAGAGGAGAGTAGGGGGTCCACAGGATGGAGTCAGCTGTAGCAACGAGCCTGCCTGTGTGGGGAAGACTTGGGCTAAAGTCAGGTGAACTCTGCACAGCCCCAGCTGCAGTACTGAAACCTCAGAGATGTCCCCTATGGATTAATGTGACTACTTTTAAATAAAGTTAGGATATCTTAATTGTGGTTGACTTCTGAGACCATTTTGAGTGGAGGAGGCTCTATTTGATTCTCCTTCCAATGACTTTTATTTCTCGCTTTGGCTTTTGGGTATAAAATGAGCCAGAGACAATATTGTGGCTTAGTTGGATTTCTTCACAAAATGAGGCTGAGCACAAAGGTAGCGAAGGAGCCTCTGTGTGAGAATAATTATAATGGGCACATGGCCTCATGAATACAAGAGCACCCCGGGCTCTTTCCTGCCCAGCCCAGGGCTGTGGGAAGACAGCAAGTGTGGTGCTGCCCTAGACCCGTGGACGTCCCTCCGAGAGCAGGCCAGTCTGAGCTGGACTCACCCACAGCCAAGCTGGATGCTGGCTCTGGGGACAGGAAGAACCCAGGCAGTCCCACTTTTTTGGGAGTCCTACAGGAAGGAGTTCAGGTCTCCACTCAAAAGACCTCTTTTCCTTCCCACCATGAATTTAAATGTGCACATGAAACAAAAGCAAACACTGCTATTAACGTCAGGAACTAGAAGGGGGATGTTTGAACTGAACAGTGGTGTCAGGTGAGAGTGGGCTTAAAAAATTTAAGCTGGGCCTAGAAACAGCAAGTCTGTTGCACATGTCTTCATCAGAGTACTTTCCCAGAAGGCCCTCCGTAGGCTGCCCTATGATACTCTGAGTGGCTCCCATCCTGCCATGTTGCTAGTTCTCCTGCCAGGCCAGGCTCCCTGGGCTGGGACTCCCAGAGCCAGCTGAGTCCTGGAGGATGCTCCAGATAGGGCTGGCGTCTCGCTCACGTGCCCCTGATCTAGCACCACACTACTTCTAGAGTCACCCAAAAGCACGAGGGGAAGGGTCTTCTAGAAGCGCTGCTGTTTGCTTTCCCTCCCTTGTACTCCTGCTCTCACAGACCCCTCTAGGGCAGGGTTGATGGATCATCAGGGAATGAGGTGGCACCACACCTCTCTTTCCAGAGCCAAGGGTCCTGTGCTGTGCCCTGGTGGGTGGAGTCCCCTGGGATTCCTGGAGGAGGGTTCACTGGCCCTTAGACTGCCTCACAGAGCTCCTTCACGACAGCTTCCCACTGCAAGGATGTTGTAGAAAGACACATAACCGAGTTTCTGCACTGACCTGGCCAGTCTGGTCTACTTGCATTTTATGGTAGACTTCTTTCTCTCATGAAACCAGATGTCATTATGAACTCTTGAGAAATATGAGCAAAAGATTCACTTCATCCCATTGTCTAACTGTTCCATCTCTTTATTTTGGAAACCAGCAAGCCCAATTTACCAACACAGTTTATACCTAAACTGCAGTGGGGATTAGTGCTGCCTTCCTGGGCAAGGAGGCTGGCAGGCTAAGCTTATAAGGGCTCTCGAACTTATTCAAATGGTCTTGCTTGACGGATTTTACTAATGAGATTTGCAGTGCATTCTTGACTCATTGGGGGTGGGCAATTCATTTCATTCTTTGATTCTGAGATTGTATATGAAAATCAGCAAGGAGAACAGGCATAGAGAGAGCAGTAAACACAGTGCCTGGCTCTCCCTGAGTGTGCCCGCACACTGGCCCCTGGGGCTTTTAGGAATCATATACAGCTCCCGGGTAGAGAAGCCCAAGCTACCATTACTACCATGTCATAAAGCAATGCCACTGCTTGCAACATCTGGACTTTGTAAAATATGCTGGCAGATTTCATAAGTTGCTCGTGTTCATAAGGATTTGATAGCTGAACTCATGAGATTTCTAGTTGCTTAAAGAATGAGACTTAGAAAGGTCACTTTTCATGGACTGAGTGATTAATAAGATTTTATATTGCATTTGCTCAGGACTTCAGTTCAGAAAACCATGTCGTTATGAAGGGTGAAGCCAGGCCCTGGGGATGTATAGTAGTTAAAAGGACAGAATTTGAACTATTCCAGGAGATTGTGGATGGGAAAGGGTTGTGTGTTGCTGTGGCAGGTAAGAGATGGGACAATGTGAGTTTCTGTTTCATTTATTACTTTTTGTACTCGTACAAAACACAGTGGACTTTCTCTGAAAACTTTCATCTACAAAAAGACAAATTTAACTGTATAGAAGTCATTAACTTAATTCTGCCTGTTGAGTAAATCTGCTGGGAAGAAGGAATATGTTCCTTCTTCAGTGTCCTTTGAAATAGGTAGGGCTTATCCAGGGGTAGGTAGCAAAGTCCTTTTGAGAACACTCGATTTTATTCAGGAACTCAGGAGCTGCTTCCAGATCCTCTCAGGTTCCCCCAGACTGACCCTTGGCCAGTTTTCCAACAGGGATGAGCCTTGGGGACACTGGTTGACACTGTGACCAGCTCTATGAGAACCCCTAGGGTTTGGACCCACATCTGTGTCAGGATGAGGAAGAAGTTCACAAACCATGGTGGTCTGTGGTCTCTACCTGGACAGAGACAACCACAGTCAGCACATGGTCAGCATGAAGCTGGTACAAATGACGCAAAGACTCCCTATTTGGGTCCTTGGCTAAGAGGGCAGAGGGCACCTTCACCCAGCTGTGGGAAGAAAGAGTGCCTTCCTCCCCTCAACACATAAGCACCATGACCCTCCCTGTTCTAGAGCTTTGGCAGGCAAAGCTGGCCATGCACTGGTGGCCCTGAGGTCCGGGCACCTATTCTGTCTGCTCTGTCCCCTACTCTTCCGGGGGAAGCTTATTTTCTCTATGCTCCTCTGGCTGTTCTTCCAAGTCTCCCAAGGCACAGATTGACAATTAAATGAGATAGTATTGCAAAAGTAGTCCATGCTTATCAGATAGTCTGCAAAGCATGAATACACAGTTTTTATTTGTTAATGAATGAATTAATCAATTTACACAGATATTAGAAGAAAATCACTGCAAATCCTACCCCAAGAGGCAATTATTAACACCAATGGGGTGCCTTTCCTTCCACACCTTTTTAAAATAGATTTTTAGGGAATGAGGGTGTGGCTCAATTGTGGAGGACTTGCCTGGCAAGTTTTAAAATTAGTATAAACTCTTGGAAAACACTTTGTGTGTGCGCAAGTGTGTGTGTGAGGATGTGTGTGTCTGCATCTGAGTGTGTAAGGATGTCTGAGTGTGTAAGGATGTGTGAGTGTGTCTGTGTGTGTGTATGGTGGGAGTGGCCAGCACAAATGCTGATCAAATGCTCTTCTGCTGAGCTATACTTCAGCTCTTGGAAAATAACTTTGATTAGGGTCCAGTATTCCATTCATTATCAGTTTAAAAATCCTACATTTCAATCACTTATATATTTCCTAACTTTGCTATTTTAAATAATACACTGATGATCTTACATGTTAGTGTGCGTATGTATGGGATTTGTTTCCTTTAGGCTATAAGCATTTGATTTCAAGTACCACATTGTTTTTGAAACAGTTGTTTTAATTCAGTGTATTCTCCCACCAGCAATGTTTGAGAATATCTGAGGGTTTGTTTTGGCAACACACTCTACCAGCACTGCATAATAAGAAGGTTAAATATTCACTGCTTATTATTTTTTAAATCACATTGCTCTTTTCTTCCATTTGTGGATGCTCCATGCCAGGAGCACGGTTCTCTTTCCCAGTTAGCACTTGGGGTGTGACTCTGGTCACTTCTCTAGCACAGAATGAATCAAGTTCTAACCACAGAGCTGTGCCTTCCCTTCTGATTTCTAAATGGGATAATAACTGTCCCTAGTGTGAAAGTAATGCTCAAAAGCAAATGAAGTCAATTTAGCATGGTGTGGAATAACAGCTTAAAACTATATTAATCTACGAAAATAGAAAAAGTGTTGAAATTGGCAAAAATCTTGGAGCATCAGAGTGGGTGTGTACCAGGGAGGACAAGGCTGGTGACAAACACACCTTGTGGCCTCCTGGCTTACTTTGCATTCATCTGCAGTTCCTCTGGGCTCAGCTAGGCTCAGGCCACTTTCTGCATAGCAACCACTCCCATCTCTAGTGCCTGAGTGCAGCCCTGACCCAAGAAGGGTCAGTGTCAGAAGGGAGGACTCCACTTCATCATCCTTAGTGAGACAAATCTTGGGCAAATTTGGGTGTGTTCTTCGTGAGTATCCCACATAGCCACCATGGTCACCTGCTCATCTATGCACTCTCATTGGCCCTTGTCCTTCTGTGTGACAATTTCTGGTACTGTCTTGAATCACAGTTGTACCACCTGTATGTAAGCCCATGTTGCATGGCTGCTTCTGGGAGATCTGAAACAGTGACCATGGCCTCACCTCCAAGGATGAGGTAGGGCCTGGCCTTCTGTACCAGCCTGGTTCCTTCACCCTGGGGTGCGGCCACCTTTAATCACCAGACACAAGAGCCAGAAAGAGAAGTCACATCTGTGTGCACCGAGGAATGGGGTACAGAGGGAATGGGGCCCCTGCTCCCCACACAGTCTGAAGGCCAAGTCAAGGGGCATCAGAAGGGTGGGAAGAGGATGTTGGAGAGGGATAGAAAACAGCCAGTAGCACCCCAAAAATGAAGCTGTTCACAGAGAACTGGGATCTCTGTGATTGGTGAGAGACACCAATGGGGGCCTGGGAGCTGAGAAGGAGAAAGTTCTGGAAAGGAATCAGTAGGGCGGGGTGGGGTGGGGTGTCTGGTCTCAGAAGGCCTCGAGGAAGCAGAGAGTCCTCTCCAAGTGCAAGTGTGGAAGAGAAGCCGGGATACAAACCTGGACA